TATCCACTGGCCTGAGCCTATCAGGCTATGCTGTGTGAGTGGTGATGGGGCCCATACACAGTAATTTCGGGGGGTGGGGTGCTTTTTTTGTAAATGTGGACCACTAAGCTGCGAGTGCCCTCTCCCCCTGCCCCTCACATGGTTCCCCAAATAACCCTGCTCTGGCCTGCTGGAGAAGGTTGGGGCTGATTTCCCTTCACACACCAAGAACAAGATCCAGCTCTGACCTCACTCCTGGGGGAAGGGGGAATCCACTCCAGCCTTCCCCTGGCCAGCCACAGCACACTTACCTGGGGGATCATAGCAGGGGGATTTGTTTCCACACTTACCCTGCATACAGGCCTTATATATCAAGCATACATCTCTGGGTTCCTTTGTCTTTTACATAGAAACATTCATCCCTTTCTTGTCAATTTTGATCCTCACACACACAAATATCCCACATTTTCATGGGCCACACACGGAAACACGTCAGTGGTTTTCCATTGTTGGTGTTCTTTATATCCGCAGGAATGATGATCAGTGGCATATGTCATTCATTTTTTTGTTAGCTGGATTCCTAATGGTACCACTGGATAGATATCAAAGATTACGCTAGGGCAGGGGTGGGGAACCTCAGGTCCAGGGGCCGGATGCAGCCCTCCCAGCTTGCCTGGATCTGGCCCCCGATGCCCTAGCCTGGCCCCCTCCCCCGCAGCATTTGGGAGCCCACCCACCTGACCCTCTGCCACAGCACAGAGCGTCTAGATTGGCACGGACGCTTTTCCGCAAAAAGAGTTAAAAGCATTTGCGGAAAATCATGCCAGTCTAGATGTAGCCCCACAGTCCTGCCTGTGTACCTGTCCTGACACATGGAACTGGAAGCATTTCAGAGAACGCTACCATGGAGGTCATGGACTACAATCTATTACCTCGCCTGCCAAATTTGGTCTTCAGGACCTCTCTCCTATCCTTCCCTATGTCACTGCTACCCACCTGTACTGTGACCAACGGCTCCTCCCCAGCGCTACCCAAAAGTCTAGCTAGATACGCAACCTTCATGCCAGAGTAGTCATCATGTAGTTCACCAGGACATCGCAAACCCAGCTGTCTATGTTTCTAATGCGTGACTCCCCCATTACTAACACCTGCCTTTTTGTAAAAACTGGAGTTCCATCCCCCAGAGAGAGGAGGATATCACAACATCATCTGGAAGGAGGGGATCAACCGTGACTCCCCCATTACTAACACCTGCCTTTTTGTAAAAACTGGAGTTCCATCCCCCAGAGAGAGGAGGATATCACAACATCATCTGGAAGGAGGGGATCAACTATGGGATCGTTTCCCTCTGCTCCACTTGCATCTTCCCCTTCCTCAAGACTTTCACCCTCCTCAAAGGCTGTCTGGCCAGAGATTGGACCATTCTATTGTTTCCCAGAACGTCTCAGCTATGTCCTTCTCTTCCTCCCTTGGCGCTATCTGGTGGAATCCTCCCTCCTCTCTCTTCCCAACTCCCCCACCTGATGGCTTTCCCTCTCTCCGTGTTCCCCATCCCCTTGAGGAGAGAGCCCCACCTCCTTGAACATGGCTGAGCTCCGCCCTCAAAAAGAAAAACATCCCAAAGCCAACAAACACCCTCATTCTTCAAGCAGTCTGAGCTGCCCGAAAACAAGCTGACAGGCACTGTGTGGACTGACACTGATGATGCAAAAGTGCGTAAAAGCCTAGATCTCAATGGCCTTGAAAGGACATTCTCAGCTTACCAGAGACAGCAGGACATCTTTGGGAACCACAACACCAAGCAGAAAGAAGATGCCATCGAGGACACACTGAGCTCCAGAGAAAAAGTCAAGCAGCTTTCGCTAACAAATGGCCAGAGGGCTCAGAACTGCAATCTTTTTCTCCCCAGGCTGCAGTGATCCAACGGTGACATCCAACGTGCCGAGTTCACAAGGTGGCCTGCCGTAAGTTGTGCAAGATCAGCTCCTGAAAGTTGTTCCTGTCAGCAAAGGCCGCAAATCCCCTTCCTTCACGAAGAAGTTTGTGGAGCAAGTCACAGAATTTAAGCCCAAAACTGAATCAATCCCAGCTGGTTCAACAGAGGTGATTCTGAGTTGTGAAGCGGTTGTTGGAGGTGGCTCTGGCCTTTAGAACTGACATCAACAAAGGCCAGAAGGGCAGCGCCGTTTGGTTTAAAATCATTAGCCTACACAAGATGGCTACGTCTAGACGGGCATGATTTTCCGCAAATGCTTTTAACGGAAAAGTTTTCCGTTAAAAGCATTTTCGGAAAAGCGCATCTAGATTGGCACAGATGCTTTTCCGCAAAAGCACTTTTTTGCGGAAAAGCATCCGTGGCCAATCTAGATGCACTTTTGCACAAAAAAGCCCCGATCGCCATTTTCGCAAAACATTTGCGGAAAACAAATCTCAGCTGTCTACACTGGCCCTTTTGCGGAAAAGTTTTGCGCAAAAGGGACTTTTGCCCGAACGGGAGCAGCATCGTATTTCCGCAAAAAGCGTTGATTTCTTACAGTAGGAAGTCAGTGCTTTTGCAGAAATTCAAGCAGCCAGTATAGACAGCTGGCAAGTTTATCCGGAAAAACTGGCCAGGCTAGACACAGCCGATTAGAAATACAAAGTCCAGCATTGACAAGAATATGGGCATTGGGTGTGTAAGGCAG